CGTCGTGTGGTGGAGTAGGAACGATATATTTGGGACGGGTAAGACTAGGGTATTTGGCAAGGAGCTATCGACGTGAAATCTCGAATTCAGACTCCTGCATGACGCGTTGACGGTAAAAAGAGATACCCCTGACGGTGAAGTTGGTGTTCGTGTCGTTTGGTTTGGACTGACGACAGTCGACCATAAGATCGAAAGTGGCGAGGATGTCCGCACCGAGAATGGCACAGGGGAGGTCAGTATCGACGAAGAACCAAGGAAAAAAACCGGGGGCTGATGTCCACGGACGGGCAGCAGGTTCCCAGGGTGATAATGGTCGATATGTTGACGGCCCGAAGGAAGAAGCCGGGATTGGGGCATCGACGATCGGCTGCTGTGGAAGGAAGGACACTCAGCTGCGCAAAAATGTCGACGAAAAAACGGCTACCACCCCGATTGTCACAGACGTAGAAGATACAACCAGGTCAGAGCTGCCGGGAAGATTGGTCGCACTGACTTCAGGTTGACTTGTCTACCCCACTGGGTAATGAGGGAGCAGAGACAGATGCAGTGACGGGGTTTGATACTTAAGATAGTGCGATACCAGCAGTTAACGGCTGTGTTAGGACAGGCTGACTGTACAGATACGATATGCTGGGCAAATGACCACGGCAGGCTGCGGGATGAAGGATAGACTGTCAGCCTCTCAAAAGAAGTTATATCATCGGCCAGGTTTGTAGGCTCGGTCTTCAACTGCGAAAAGAGAGACGCAGGAGGAGTTGAGGGAGATGAGAATGCAGAAAGCGATGGCCATCTGAGGAATTTGTGCATATGAAGTGGAGCCAGAGAGATCGACCGCGTCTACTCTCCGGCCAAAGGGTTTCTCAGAGAAGGTTTAATGGAGCAAGGTGAGACACTGCACCTAAACTTATCACCGAAGTTGACATGGGACGCGCGGACATTATTAGCCCTCGAGCCACAGCAAGAATGGCGACGATCTCGGCTACAGATACGCCTAGGTAAGCCAGCAGGGCGGTGCAAATGCAAAGTAGCAACAGTCACCGATAATCAGGCTACCTGTGCCTTGGTCTCGGCCAGGTCAAAGGAGGCTGATACTGCGGTAGGTTGTGAGCTCTGCGAACTCGTCAAAAAGACGGATGCCAAACCTCCATAATATGGTCAGCCATTTCAACAAGCTTCGAGACGTTAAGGTCCTCAGATCCAGACGCCTAGATTGTATGCACTGGTGTTGACAGGCACACCACGAACACTTCCTTAAAGAATTTGTCATCAATGACCATGTCCCCAGGAAGAGGGCGCATGAGATAGAAAAGCCCAGAGGACTTGCTATCGCTCAAACTTCTTCACTTACCTGTACAGGAACTGAACGAAGACGTCCGGCCTTGAGCTTGATGTAGGGAGCATTAGTTGGGGGGTACCGTAATAAAGCTTGTAAATGAGAGAGGATAGTGGAACGAGGCGCCTCAAATAAATTATAGTAGTCCATTATCTCCAAAGTTATTTTGGTAGGGTAAATGGTGGCCATGTTATGGAAAAAACAGAGTTCTGGAGATCGTTGACAAGATAATGAAGAAACACATTGGCTTTGTCCATGGGTACTGCGGAAGACATCGTTAGAGGCCAAATCATAGATAGGATATAGAGCAAAGACGAGGCAAGTATACGTCAGAAGGCAAATGTTACGAGAAATCACGTCGGAGTCAACACTGTTGTGAATACAATAATTACTAATGACAACTAATGCACCAGAAATGTTCGCTATAAATTATATCCACCGGTCCAACTACGGACAGCAGGAAAAGACCTGTGGGCATGCAAAACAAGGACTCAAAAATTTTGCTACCTGACAGTCCGTACGTCGCAACCGACGATGTCTACCGTGTGCCCCACAGCCAGGGAAGAACAGACACGGTGACTCGCGCGTGAATTAGCTTATAGTGAGCGTATACTTGCGCAGGATCTGCTACACTATCTCCTCCTCCTAAGCTGGGCTTGGTGTCGAGGCATAGTTAGGAAGACAGGAGACGGGGGGGGCGCAGGTGGCTGGCACGGCCGGTCTCACGCATGAGCGTACCACCACAATCCCTGATCCACAAGAAACACTTGACCAGGATTTTAAAAAACAGCAGCACAAAGGGTCAGATGGCTGGTCGACAATGTATAGTACCTGTATACCCAGTGGGAGCGCAAGCCCATCTACCGGCGTGAAACCAAATGCCAGAAAACTGCTGGCGCATACCAAACCGTGAGTGTCATGGATTTCTGAATCATGGCATAGCAGACCTAATCACAATACACACATGCAGTGTGCGAGGTGAGCTGCAATGTTGTGCCCATTACGTTAAAACAAGAGAGATGGTTAAGAAAAATGAACGAGATTGTTAGGGATCAGTTAGTGTAGGTCCTCGGCACAGTGGCCCACTCTGTGACGATTAGGTGAGCAGACTGCCATTCTGGATCTCCAAGGAATCGGAGGCCGCAATGATAACGACATCCTCCTACTTCGGGTCCACGCAGGATACCACATCGTCCTGTTCCGTCAGACCAAAACCTTCCGCTTCAGGACGCGGGCGCTGGCACCTGCTGTACCGCGTTCTCGTCAGGACACTAGGCTGTCAAGACACGCTGCTGCCAAAGGGGGTCTACGGTGCCGATAGCTGTACGAACCACCGCTTCGGCCTCTCCAAAGTGAGTCTCCGGTTAAAACTTCTCAGAAGACCACAGGGTAGGCGAACACCGGATAATTTAAATGCTGTTGTGTTTAATATGTTTTCTCACCGCTTAGATTTTGGCAATGAACGGTCTTAGCGCATGGAAGAGCTACAGGTTCCGCAAGGCAACTTCAGTGTTGAGAGATAATGAAGTGTAGTGGGGGACGCAATTAATTCGAACGTCATGAATCTTCTGGTTTATGCACGCCATCGACAAATAGACAGGTCTGGCGGCAACGACGTCGAGATCATCGACCTCCTCTTCGAGGGGAAGAATTTCTTTAGGTCATCCAAGACGGTCTATGGCCGCACAACCAGGACGCCGTGTCATCGTTCAGTTCCAACGGATTAACAATTTTTTTCGGAGAAATCGCAAGCCCTGAGGCTCCGAATCAAGCACTTCAGCAATTATTAGTCGACCGTCCGCAATGCCCATGGCCCCCATAAACACATTCCCCTAAACTGAAACCAGCTGTGACCTGGACCTCTTGCCTTCACTTCTAAAAAGAATCGAGTCCGTGCACCAGGTGTCCAGCTGGAAAGTACCAGGATCAAGCGCAATCCAAAACGAATTCTATGAGTACGGCGATTCTCGGCTGATGGAAAGTTGATTTCACTTTCGCAGAAAACGTAACGACAAGAACAAGTCCAACAAGACTTCAACGAAGGTTCGCCCGTCGTAAATTATGCTGTTCATCGCGTGCTCTGCGGCAGGGTGGGAGCAGACACGACAACTGGTGTGATCTCTTTAATAATGATAGTGACACTGAACTGCCAATAATATACACATGGGTTCCGTGATAACAGTTCGACCGTCGTCGCCGATGATGTGCACCGAGCGCTCCACAGCGAGATGAGTGCAGGCACAATGACTTGCGCATGAGCTAGTTTATAGTGAGTGCACACTTGCGCAGCATCTACCGCACTCTTCTTCCTCCTCATCCTCCTCCCCCACCTCGGCCTGGTATCAAGACATTGTCAAGAAGGCCGGAGGTTGAAGAAGCTGCTAGTAGCTGGCATGGCTGGAGTCGCCCTTGAGAGTGCTGCCAAATCCGGCTCGGATCCCTCTAGGCGGGAGTGCCATAAACGCTACATTAAGAAAGACCCATTGCAGCCTGATTTCTAGACCATCAGTTGGCCATTTCGCGCAAACACATCAAACTGGGCCGACTGCAATGTTCAAATTACCCCGTCAGTTGGCAATCTTCCAAGCCACGGCTTTTAGTACACCATGATAGCTTCATGCGCGTCGGATTGTTTCTAAAGAGAAAAGTGCGCTAAGTCGTCGAGCTCACTCTCCATTTTTATTCCTCGGCACAAAAACACTGTCCGAGCTGGTCAGCCGCCTAGTGCGGGAGATGGGCACAATGGCTGATATATCTTGTGACCTTGTCTGCGCGAGCCAAATGCATGGCCTGGCTCCCCAAACACAAGCACCAAGGTGTTACACATCAGGGAGAGGGCGGCAGTAAGGAGCCGTTGAGGCCTACCTCTCAGCCCACTCGTTCGCCACTCCATACAAACACACACCTGGGCAGACTGCGTGGACTGAGTTGATGTCTCAGTCAGCAACCCTCCTTGCCACGGCGCTTGGCGTAGCGTGATAATCTCAGCCTCGAGTCACGCATGCAGAAGAGTTGCTACATGGAAAAGCTGCCGATAAGCACATTCCTCACTTACGCGAGAGGTGTTAAAAGCGTGCTTGCATTGTGTGGTGATGGATGATCTTGATGTGCGTTGCAGGTGCGATCGTGTGGCATGGTCGATGGTGTTGAACCGCAGACTTTCATTAATGTGCGTGTGGCCTAGTAGGCCCTTACGGTAGCTGGATGTGCTAGGACAATGCCGGCAGCTACGGCGAGTGCGTCTAATGTATGCTGGTATTCCAGGCACTGGTTCACCAGACTCCCTGCGATGGATATGCGGCTGGCCAGCCAGGACGGTGAGCCAGTTCGCAATGAGGAGAGGCTGGGACCGGGTCCACATGGATGGAGATGCTAGTGGTGATGGTAGTCGATGGCAGGGGGGGTGTAGGGGTGTCCAGCTGTGGGTCCACCTGACGGTCGTCGTGGGTCACTCGGTCGCCTGCAAGTGTAGACTCCGTCTAGCGTTCATTTGCTGACCGCCAACTCTCACACGCGGCTCCTGGAAGCTAGGCTCTGCCTAGCGGCCACACTTCGGTAGCCGCCCCGACCGGCGGGCTAAACCAGGTGAGGGTATTCGTGTGTGCATCTTCGAACACGGTAACCTTGGCTCCGATGGCCGCTGCACTGCATGGGTCTATTCGGCCACATGCGTATCCACGAGAACGAAATTGACTGCAGCCCCGACACACCTAGTACATCCAGCACACCCACTATGCCTAGCCCCGCCCACACGCCGCCACTCAACGCCCACACCGCCATCAGCTCCACCACATTCACTGCATTTTGCACACCCATCATTTTCAACCCAGCCCACACCCCATCGCCCAGCGCGCCCACCACCACCAGCTCCACCATCTCCATCACGGGAACTGGTACTGACGCCGCCGACTTCTCAAGTCCACAGTGTCCCAGTATATTCACCTCACGCATCGGCATGGTTGGCTACTTGCGAATCCATCGCACAGAGACTGGTAAACCAGTGCCCGGAGCACCAACCTGCACTCGCCGCATCCGCATCCATTGTCCACATTGTGTCCGCATGGGTCTACTAGGCTTCATGCTCGTTCATAAAAAAACTGCGGTAGACAGCCGCCGCATGTACCCCACCATCACATCTTCCCTCGCCAGCATCTCACCGCACATAAACATCATCAACCGCAAGCACCTAACTGCAACCTCCCACACAAGTGGGATGTGTGCGTCTCGGCCTCTTCTCCATGCGGCTCACCTGCTGCATGTGTGATTGGAGTCTGAGACGAAGACGGTGCATCGAGCTCCGTGACTCGGAAGGCAGCCGACTGACGCCCCAGCTCAGTCCACACAGTCTGCCCAGTTGTTTTGTTTGTGAGGAGTGGCAGACTGATGGACTGAGAGCCAGGCCTTCACGGTCCCTTCTCAAGTGGTCTGTGACACTCTCGTACATGTGAGGAGAGTGTGTGTACTTTATGGGTAGTGCCTCCCAGTCGGCGACTGTTTGGTTACCCAACCTTGAAGGATGACGGCCCGGGCTAGGTTCAGGACCACGTGCCGTCCTTCTAGGTCAAAAGGTCTGAAATCGTGTGCTATGCTAGTATCAGCAAGCCATGGTCCTCGCAGCCTGGAATGCGCTGGCAGTTCCCTGACACCTTGTTCCCTGCCGGTAGTTGCGTTTGCGCTCCCGCTGGATATACAGGTGGTAGGCATGGCTGCCCAGTCATCCTGGTCCTTCTGACCCCTGTCAGGGTGTTGTCGTTGTTATTGGTGAGAAATCTCGGGGAAGTGTATGTTGTGGGCCAGAGGGTGTGTTGGCACGCCTAGGTGCCGGTCTGGCCGCGCCAGCCATTTGCGCCCTCCCCTTAACCCGATCTTCTTAACTCTGTCTTGACACCAGCTCCAGATGGCGAGTGGGAGGGAGAGAGAGAGGTAGATGCTGCGCAAGTCTACATCCACTATAAACTAATTCAGGGACAAATCACTGACATGCTTATATACCTCACTTCATAAGGCCTATGACGTACTGATGATCGGTACCGACCGTGAAACAGCTGTCTGCGTCTGGCCTGTTGCACTCTTAGCGAGCTGCTCATGTATTACAAATCACTGAGCCTGCTGCGCCTAGCTGCGTAGCATATTATGGACATCGTCGGAATCGACGATCGAACTATTGAGATGGCAGGATGTCGGACGTCGTCTCATCAGAGGGGAAGTACGAGAGGTCGTGGTGTTGGTGGAGCTGGTCGTTGTGATCGGCGCAGGGGTGTGTGCAAGGCGGATAGTGGCAACGATCGATGGCGGTGGGACATCGGCAATCTGATTACCAGTGTCTGAGGTGGTGGTAGTCGCGGGGTTTGTAGCAGAGGTGATGGTTGAGGTGATCGTGGGAGGAGAAGTTCATGCTGCCGGGTTGCTGATGCACTGCTTCCGAAGGTGTCCTACAAGGCCGGTTCGCGCGCGGAATGTACGTTTGCAGCGCGGGTATGTTAGATGTAGCTGGATGTTATCATGGTGTAATCGAGGCGCTTGCTAGTCTCTTTTTGTCTTAGCGACTTCAATCCTGTTTTCCTTTTAAATTGCCTCGCCAGTATTCACTTTTCTTTTAGAGGCTGGTCCGTTCTGGGGGTCCTGTCAGGTCTCCGTGTTGATCTGTAGTCGTTTCAGAGAGTTCTTTAGAGTGTCCATGAAGCACAGTTTTTGTCCTCCCTGCCGTTGAGTACCCGTAACGACACTCCCTTAGAAGGTTTGTTTCGGTAGACGTGCATCTTCTATGCACACGAGATGGCCGCTCCAACGTAGTTGGATTTCCGCACTGTACAGGCGTGTCGTCAAGACGACGGACTTGTACATCTTTAATTGACCATTCAGTTGAAGGCCTTGGCAATTCCAAACGGAAGCCTGCGGTCAACCGAAGGCTTGACTGGCTTTGAAGATCCGATTGGCCAGTTCGTTGTTCATTTTTGTGCTGCCGGAGTGTGCTTCATAAGTAAGCGAAGTTGCCCACAGTTTAGAGTCGGTTGCCGTCAACATTGACTTGAGGAATACTGTGTCGCACATTCAGTAGCGCTTGATGTATGACTACCGTTTGTCCGTGTTGATCGTCAGGTCGAAGTTGGTACACCCAGCAGAGAAAAGGTCTTTGCTAGATGCATGTCTTCTTCAGTCGTGGTGTTGAGCGTACAGTCGTTGGGGTGTGTAGGGGTCTCCGGTTGTGGGTCCACGTGGTGGTCGTAGCAGGTCACTTCAAGTGTTTGTTAGTTTTAATTACGTCTGGCGTCTATTAACTGGCACCCCGCTCTCACCCGTGGCACCTCGGAGCTATGCTCTGCCCAGCAGCCACTTCAATGCTCGCGTCGGGGCAGACCGCGCTGCCTCGATGGGAGTACTGGGTCCTCACGGAATAGGCGGCTACAACGACAATGGTCTCCCTCTCCTCCTGCGAACCTGCGCAAAGCACCGCCTCCTGCCTACCAACGCCCTCTTCCGCCTGCCGATGCGGAAGCAGGCCACTCGGTTGCATCCCCGATCGCGGTGCTGGCAGCTACTGGACTTTGTTCTCTTTCGGCGGCGTGATCGACAGGACGTGATAGTGACTAAGGTGATCTGTGACGCCGGTGGCTGGACGGGTAACCGCCTCGTCATCTGCAAGATGAGGCTCCGTCCGCAACCCTGCAGAAGGCCACAAGGAAAGTGGCCACCAGGTTCTTGGTTAAATATCGTCTTGCTGTTTATGCCTGCTCACCGTTTACATTTCAGCAATCAAGTGACCCAGCGACTGGAAGGCCTGCAGGCGCCAGATGAGAACGCCTCTCTGGAGACTTGACGATGCCAAATGCGAGAAGCTGTTCATTCGAACGCTCCGGGTATCCTCGGCCGCGCATGTTGCTAGCGTCAGGGCTGGTCTGGCGAAAATGACGCCGCCATCAGTAACCTGCCTGCCAAAATGAACGGAGTGAATGGAACCTAACTCGACCGTTCTACTGATTAAAACAAAACGGCCTTTAACCAATGTCGCCGCCTTGCGCAACAGCGGTTGCTAAAAATCCAGGACGCCCGTTTGGCTTGCAAGGCTGAGGCAATCCAAACGTATGCCTAGCGCAATGAATCAAAGGATCTTTTCGGTGCGACCAAGACCATCTACGAAGACCCAACGAAAGGAATCGCGCGGCTTCTCCGCTCCGATGGCTTAACACTTCTGATGGAAAAGTTGTACATTCCGAAGTACTGGGTCGAACATTCCAGTGGCGTCCTCAACCGTTCGTCTACAATCTCCGACGCCGCCATCGACCGGCGTCCTCAGGTGGAAATCAGCACTTGCCTGGATCTCACACCTTCTATTCCAGAAACCGTTCGCAACCGACGGCGATCCAGTGATAAAGCACCAGGCTTCGATACGATCCCAAATGAAATCTATAAGCACGGCGACCGCCGACTGATGGACCAACTCACGGCGCTATTCCAGCAGATGTGGCGCTGGGAACGGGTCGCTCAGGACATCCAGGACGTCATCATCGTCCATTTCTACAAGCGCAAAGGTAGCCGGCAACTCTGATAACCACAGAGGCCCCTCGCTACTCAGTATCACTGGAAAGCTCTTTGCTCGCCTTCTCAATCGTCTCGACAGACCCTCGAGCAAAGACTACTACTGGAAAGCCAATGCGTCTTCCGACGACACCGCGGCAGCATCGACATGGTCTTTTTCGTTCGCCAGCTTCAAGAGAAGTTCCAGGAAACGCGAACCCACATCTACACTACCTTCGTTGACTTTAAGAAAGCCTTCGACACGGTGAACCGTGAGGGTTTGCGGAAAATCATGCAAAAAAATACTTAATGCTAGTGATTCCTCAGCACATCATGGACAACGGCTGACGGGCATCTCCTCAGCTGCAGGTGCATGCAGGCCCCCATGCGACTATCTGCGACTACAATGCCTGCAAAATATATACAAGCGAATAGGAAACCGATGCTATGAAGATCACGGAGACGTCTCTTTACTGAAAATCGCAGGGAGCATCTTAGGCTGCGTCCTACCTAACCATCCGAAAACGCGCTTGTAACAGGGACTTCTCCGAGAAAGCCGACCTCGATCCCGTATGAGCTGCGGAACCATGAACATGATGCTCAAACTCATCAACAGCTGGAGAAGTAAGGGATACAAGGGCCAACCTCTACAGCACTTTCATTGAGTTAACGAAGAACTCTGACTCAGTCAATCATGATGAAATGTGTATGTCCGGAGCATTCCACACAAATGTTGCGCCAACTTTACGATGGGATGATGGCTCGTGTCAGGGACAACGGTGTAATTTCTGAAGCGTTCGCGGTGACCAGTGAAAGGAAGATGGGCTGCGTGTTCGCCCTGCCTTATTCAATCTCATGGTGTCCGCTATCCTTATGGAGCGACCGAGAATCGACATAAAAAAAAGCCAAACCAACGAAAAACAGCTTAGCATTAGTTTACTGAAGGCATATTCGTAGTATTCAAGGTTAGCATCCACGATCGGTTGTTCGAGGATGACTGAGTGATAAATATCACAACGGAGGAGGGCGTCGTGTGGAGAGTGGACCTCTTGACTTCCGGCTGCTCCGGCTTCGAAACGGCCTTAGGCACAGAGAAGACAGTGGTCATACACCAACCGGCTTCAAAAGCGGACTACAATGAATCCCAAGTCGGCGTTAGTAGTTGACGAGTTTGGATACCTCGGAAGTACAATTTCAACAAATTCCAAGATCTCCAGAGCCAGCCAGGCCTGCAGAAAGCTGCAGCCCTCAGTCTGAAGCCATCGTGCACTTGAACTTAATGGGAAACTCAGAATGTGCAGGACGGCAGTCCTGATGACGCTGCTCTGCGGGACGAAGACATAGATAGGCTACAACAAACAAGTCAGGAAACTCAATCACCGCCACCTCAGCGACCTCCGGAGAAGATTGAGGCTGGGGTGGCAAGCCAGAGTCCCAGACATGGAAGTTCTCAGATGAAGTGGAATGCTCAACACACATGCTATGCTAAGACAGATCCAACTACAATGGTACGGCCAGGTAGAGAGGATGGATGACGTGCCCGTACCAAAGCGGCCACTCTACGGCGACCTTGTCACAAGTGCCCATCAACATTAAGGACGGAAACGACGTTACACGGACATTGCAAATTCCGGTCAAGAATCTACAAATCAACTTGGAGACCTACGAGGAGGTTGCTTAGAATCGAACAGTCAGGCGAAGAGTAGTGAAGACTGGCAGCAATATGGGAATTCAACCAGATCTTCGCTGTCATAAGGTGCGGTTCACAAGCTTCAAGCGCCTCCGACCCAAACCGCCAACACTCCACTCTTCGTACCATGTCCCCGCTGTCAACGGACATTCTGCGTAGGGATACCTCGTCGGACACTTTTTGAGCTAATGCAACAATAACCCGAAAACTTTACCCACTTCGCAAACATCTGCATCGTCGCTAACTCCAAGAGGACGACCACCAGCAACGGAAAGCACATTAACGGTGCTCAGCCGCTGTCGCCACTCACCACCCACGGAATCAATGTCACAACCTCTGTGGCGATGACCATCGTCTCAGCATTGGTGAGATCCCACCCGCCGCTCCGTCAACCACCACCACCGCCAACACGCAGGTGGTTGGCACGGCTTAAGCCCGCACCTAGGCTTACCACCTGGTTCACAAAGAATGATTGACCAGGATACTATACTAGAGCAAAATGGAGGGGCGGCTCGAACCCCACTGAGTGGGAGTGCCATAGAGGCCACATTAAAAGGGAGCTATTGCATCCTGGCTCTCAGTTCACCAGTCCGCCACTGCACACAACACACACTGGGCTGATTACGAGGTCAAAGCCACGAACCCCACCCGATAGCTCGACAATCGATTTCGATGATGTCCAGCGTGTGCTCCACAGCAGCAGCGGTGGGAGCAGGGACGATGACTTGCGCAGGGGTTTATAGTGCCATTAGACGTGCGCTGCATCTACCTACACTCTCTCCTCCTCCCCCGCCTGAGCCCGGTGTCAAGACAGAGTCAAGAAGACCGGGGACGAGGGAGGCCGCAGGTGAGTGGCTCGGACCGATCCTCGTCTTGGCGTTCCACCACACCCCCTGGTCCACATAACAAATAATCAGGATTTTCACCAACACAACAGAGATTGGAGGCTGGCGCGACCGAAGCCGCACCTAGGCGTGCCGCCGACGCCTGGCTCGGATCCCACACAGTGGTGGGAATGCCATAGAGGCCACATTAAGAAGGAGCCATTGCAGCCTGACTCTCAGACCTCCAGTCCAGCTGGAAGTCCAAGTTATCCCGTCAGTTGGTAACCTTTCAAGCCACGGCTTTTAGCGCACCGTGATAGCCTCAAGCGCGTCAGATTGTTTATAGTGAGGAGGAAGTGCGCTGAGCCGTCGACCTCACTCGCCCTTCCAATTCCCACATCCCAGTCATTGTCCGAGCCGGTCAGCATACTGGAGTTTGGGCGCGGTGGCTGTCAGGGTCGACTGACCGTGACTGCGTGCACCACGCGCACGACCTGGCCCCCCAGACACACACACCAGGATTTCGCACAACGGGGGTTGAACGGCGTGTCTCTCACTTGCGTGAGAGGGTCGTGGAAGGTGCTGTTTCAGCCCACCAGTCCGTCACTCCACACAACACACACACATACAACGCGACGAACAGCGTGGTCCGAGTAGGGGCGTCAAACAGCAGCCTTCCTATCCACGACGCTTGACATGTCGGGATAGTCTCGGATTCAAGTCGCCCGTGCAGCCGAAGCCGCATGGGAACTGAGTCGAGATGCACACTTCCCACTTGCATGGGAGGTGGCAGTTGTGTGCTTGCGGTGGGTGAGTGTTGCTGTGTGGTGGTGGTGGTGGTGGTGGTGGTGGTGGTGGTGGTGGT